CAGTGATGCCAATTTAGCGGATTTCTCGCTAAATCTAGCGTTTTTCAAATCTCATCTAACTGGTAATTTTTTAAAATGCGGATAGCGGTAATTCTGACTTTATGAAATATTTTTCTAGCTTTTTTCTGGCGGTTTTTAAAGAAATATAGTTTATATGGTATTTTGAGATTTGAATGGTTTTTCGCTTATGCGGGGTCTACAATGCGAGTCGCTGAGTTGTAGTCGTAAGAATAATCGACTGCGATTGGTCAATTCCGTCAGATACATAAGAATTGGCCAATGATAGTCGGTTATTTTTACGACTACGACTCTGCGACTCGCATTGTAAACCCCGCATTACCGCGCGACGAGAAGCGACGCTGTGAGAACAAATGAATATCTTAAATGAATAACGCTATCGCGTCTCTTTTTGCCGTGCGGCAATCGTTTCCGTGCGTCCTATGTGCAGAAACCGTAACCTATGCCTGTGCAGTCAAGTCTGTATAAAAAAACTGGAAGATACAAGTTCGGTTGTCGACACGTTAAACACTCCAAAAAGTGTACAGGAAAATCTCAGCTCTTTTAGCGTTTTCGATTTGCTGACTCGACCCGACTCCGAGTCAGAAAAGTTTGATCAAAAGTAAGATTTTTGCAGAAATTGTGGTTCAAATCTTGCTATTGATCAAAATTTTTTTACTCTAGGTCGAGTCGAGTCAGAAAATCGAAAACGCTATTTGTTTACAAAAGCCATTACAGTTCTGTGATTTAATTACGTTTATCCGTGCTGTACTCGTAGAAAATGGGAAAACCAGTGTATCAGCAGAAATTCCGATTAGAATGGAAGTCTAACCCTCAGTTAAAAGATTGGATTCGTGAAGACATGACGAATAAAACTAAAGCTTACTGCAAATATTGCAAGTGCAATATACAATGCAAATTGAGTGATTTGATTTTGCATGCTAAAACAAAAAAACATAAAGTAGCAAGCAGATCGCAGCTAGTGGAACGCAAAATTCCATTCAAACCCTTATCTACCAAGACGCAAGAACAGGAGGCTGCTCTAGCCTTATATATCAGCCAGCATAGTGCAATAGCGCCCGTTGATCATTTAAGTTCTTTGTGTAAAAGTAAATTTGATGATAGCGTGACGTGCACTCAAATGATGTTGCACAGAACCAAATGTACTAACATAATTAAAAATATATTGGCAACCCATTTTGTTGAGGATTTGCGTATTGATATTGGGGATTCAAAGTTTAGTTTATTGCTCGATGAGTCAACGGATATTAGCGTCACAAAACTTCTTGGTAAGTTGCATATATAAATATAGCTAATATGTATTCTAAAATCTCTTATTTGCAGGTAGTGTTATCATATATTTTAGCAAAAAACAGCAAAAAATAATTTCAACATTTCTTTCAATGGCAGAATTAAAAAGTGGAAATGCAGAGGACATTGTAAATTGCTTGAAAAATGAGCTGAAAAAATTTAAATTAAATATTAAAAATCTAATTGGTATAGGAACGGACAATGCCAGTGTCATGGTTGGCTGTAACAAAAGTGTGTATACTGAACTGAGAAAAGAAGTACCTCATCTTATTCTTATTCGATGTGTCTGCCATTCCGTGCAATTGGCGACAAATTATGCTTGTAAAGAATGCCTTCCCAGAAATCTAGAGTTTTTAGTTCACGAAACATATAATTGGTTCAGCAAGAGCTCTAGTCGCCAGTCCGCATATAAACAATTATATGAAACAATCAATAATGGCATGGTAATTTGTGGTCATATACATATTTAATTCGAAGTTAATAAAATATTTATTTCTACTTTGATTTTTATTTTAGGAACCATTAAAAATAACTAGAGTTTGCGATACTCGTTGGCTATCCATTGAAGTTGCGGTTTCGCGTTTATTAGAGCAATGGCTCGAATTAAAGACACATTTTGGTATTGTCAGAAATTCTGAAAAATGCTATACGGCTGAAAACTTATACCAAATGTACAATGACAAAATTAATTATGTTTTTTTGCTATTTCTTAAACCGATTCTATTGGAACTGCAAACATTAAATAAGAGTTTTCAGAGCAATACTAGTGATCCAACTAAGCTGTTAAGAGATTTAGTGATAGTTATAAATTCTTTAAAAAACAAAGTTATTAACCCGACACATAATTTTGATATTGTAACGACGGATTTTGATAATTATATCGATAGAACGTGCTACTTAGGTTATAGATTTGAAAATCAAATAACTGAATATAAAAAAGAAAATGTGATAAGTGAAGAGACTGAAAGAAATCTCCGGTTGAGATGTGTAAATTTTGTCGTTGTTCTCATCAAACAACTTAAACAAAGGTAATAATTATTATTATGAAAAAGTAGGCAGTATTTTAAAAAATGTTGGACACAATGGCTACGTTCAGCAAACACCACAATTGAGTGAGCGCTCAATAGCTATGGCTTGCGATTGGAGATTTTGAATAGACTAGACAACATAAGCGCGCGCTTTGCGCGCACCATTAGCTCTCTCTAAAAATTCGCATGGTTTGACAGCTGCAAATAACACGACTGAAGCATGTCGTAGCGAGAAGCTGTCGCACAAGCGAGACAGCCAATCAGCATCTCGGAAAAGCGACAACAATACTTCGACACTTTCGATTATCGACTTAACACGGCATTTTTATAGGAAAAAAAATCTAAAAGATCTAGAAGAATATTCCTATACCATTGAGCGCTTACCCAACATTTTTACTCATTTCAAAGTCTTTCTAGGAGTACTATTAACATCAATATATGAATGTCCGGAAAATGATTTATGATTTATTAAGATTAATTATTTAATTATTATTTTTAGATTACCTGATAATTATAACATATTACAGAAAATTGACTTATTTTCTGTAAATAAGATTTTACATCCCATAAAGGAAGATATATCGCCCATTTTAAGAAATTTTGAATCTAATCCTGATATAGTGGGAAAAATAATTAATGAATATCATAATATAAATTTTGTCAAATGGATTAATATATCAAACACTACATTATTTTGGGCGGAAGTAAATGCTTATAGAGACGCAGGTGGTAATAATCCTTTTGGAAATCTGGCCAAATTTGTATTAGAACTTCTTTCTTTGCCATGGTCAAATGCTGACGTGGAACGAACGTTCAGTCATTTAAACTTGGTGAAATCCAAAATTAGAAATCGCATGCAAATTTCAACACTTAATGCGATTTTAAATATAAGGTAACTGATAATTATAATTTAACAAATATTAAATCTGATGTTTTAATAATACATATTTAATAATAAATAATAAATTAAATAATAATTAATAATAATTGTTTTCAGATATGGTCTAAGTCGACACAATAAATGCTGTCATAATTATGAGATACCGAATTCATATATTCGTTTAATTGGAACAAATGTTGCATATGTTAACTGTGATATCGATATGATTAATACTGAAGATTCTCAAGAAGACTGGATCGATATTAATTAGAGTTACGCTTAAAAGATATTACAAATATCAATATATATAAAAAATAATATATGATTATATGTATATTGTTATATGTATACATATGTATATTTAGAATACCACATTAAACTAATTCAAATTTAGAAACTATTTGTTTCAATTAATATTATTCGTTTTTGTTTATATACATATACATATGTATATTGCAACTTTGTTTCAATATAAATAAATCAACAGATTTTTACTGATTTTTCATTTTTTAATTACTTTCAAGTGTATTATATTACGGTGTATATACATATTATACATATTTGGTTTATCTGGCGGTTTTCTAGCGGATTTTCAAATCGAATTTAGCGGGTTATTTTTTCAGCA